TTAATATTTTTTCTAATATGCTTATTATTTATATTACAATTAGCGTAGTATTTAGGGTTAAAATAGAGAAAATGTTTTTAAATTCCAGTGCAAAGATGCAAATTAGAGACGTTTGGTGGCCAGAAAAATAATATTCCTGTTATGCCATGGTTTAACCACTAGATGCCCGTTTATATTTTTTTTTTTTTTTTTTTAAATGTTAAATTAAAAAAAGATTAATTACTCACATCCCAGTATTATTTTATGACATTTATTAAGAAGATAATATAAGTGAATGTTAAAAAAGGCCAGCAAATACGGAACTTAACCCAATAAAAAAATGTAAATAACGTTTAACCAGTGCAAAGATGCAAATTAGAGACGTTTGGTGGCCAGAAAAATAATATTCCTGTTATGCCATGGTTTAACCACTAGATGCCCGTATGGCTGTTTAATAAATATAGCCTACATATATTTAGCTCTACTCTAGTTGCTGTAAAGAGTTTTACCGGTCATAATTATTTATTTATTTATTTATTTTATGTTTTGCATTGTCTATTTAGACATTATCAAACACTCAATGTTTATAATTTTTTCTTTTTTTTTTTAAATGTTAAATTAAAAAAAGATTAATTACTCACATCCCAGTATTATTTTATGACATTTATTAAGAAGATAATATAAGTGAATGTTAAAAAAGGCCAGCAAATACGGAACTTAACCCAATAAAAAAATGTAAATAACGTTTAAAAAAAAACACAAGGCAACCAACTGCATTCAGGGAAACTCTTTCTTGTATTCCTTCACTGAAACTCGTTCAACTTCCTACAGGGAGAGAAAGATTGCAGAAAGACTAAAAACTTAAAAATATGACAACTAGCATCTGGTTATGATCGCTATTAAGGTGTTTCTCGCGTTACCTAACTGCAAATATAGCATAACTGCCTATTATCTAAAACTAAACATTAACTAAAACACGTTTCATAAAATACAACTACTGGCCAGATTTCCGAGAGGTAAACTAATGCGTTAAAATGCCAAAAACTGCTGTAATTTCCTCAACTTTATGGCGAGTGTGCTTGAGAAGCACTGAAATGAATGGGCTTCAATACTGGAACTATTGGTTGTTTGGAACTATTGGCTGCTCCATGACACGCTTTACTTCCGCATTCCTCAGTTCCTATGGAAGCCTATGGGAGTGTCGCAACTCTATTTCTCAACGGCTCTGGGTGAATTGGCCCAAAAAATCTAATTTGGAATCACATATGAATATGGATTGTCTCGGTTTTATACAAAATACAGACTACAAAAAAACTAAATAAATTTGAGTCACATACGACTCAAGAAGACATCTGAATCACACTGGAATAAAAAAAATATATATATATCATTACATGAACTGCAAAAACTGTCGGTTTTAAATTTACCTCATTCAATGCATGCAGAATCTTGGAGCGAAAGGTGACTGTAGCGCACACTATGGTGATCAGCCAAAAATTGAGCATCACCCCTGAGGACTGGACCCCCTTCATCCGCTCATACTGGATCAAGAACGTAGCCAGCAACTAAAACACATATAAAACACATCCAATTACAAAACACTTCAAATTTGTAAACATCAGGCTAAGAAAAGACCATGACTAGACCATTTTTGAAACAATAATATATTAGGGAGAATTTGTCCTTGAGGCAAGGAAAGTGGAATACTTTCATGTAATTTGAATATGAAATCAATGCAAGCCGAAGAGTAATTTACAAGCAAAGTAGTTTAATTCAGCACTTCCTTTTGTGAAAAAACAGGTCTCACCATTGTAACGCCAAGCATTGTGGGGCTGACTAGGTAGACTGGGGCTATTGTAGCACCATGGCTTCTTTCCCAGAAAGAGTAGAAAACATCTGCCCAGCAGATAAGCCATAGGGTAAACCCAATAGCCTGTTGGAGGAGAGTCACATGACCTTGAAACAGCTGTTGACCTTGGCAGAGTTATCAGTAAACACACTCCCAAAGCACACTGCTACATAAAAAGCATTGTACCGGAATCCTGTTTGTTAATACTCACTGTTTTGGCTCTGTTGAGGTGGGTCATGCATATGTATCCACGGTCATTTCTTTTGAGGTATAGGATGTATAACGGTGCAAACAGCCAGAGGTAGAGGCATGGTATCCAAACCAGCACTGTGTTCTGGAAACATGGTGTCAGGTCTGGATTGTGTGTTTGCCATGTCCGGTTCCAATCCTGAAAACATAAGAGGACAGAAGGGTGTTTCAATTTACTCTGTGTCTCTGGAGATTCTTTGGACGAAACTTAGAAACAAAGTAACAACTGGAGTAGACACAGAGCTCTGAGCTGCCCGGTAAAGCACACAAAGACCTAATGATGTGTGCAAGGAACAAACACTCTTGAGAAGATCTTTCAGCACATTTCATTACACCAAATACACATAATAATGTTCTTTTTAGCAGCATCATATGACCCCTTTAAACTTCTTGACAAAAACAAGTCTTCTTCAAGTAGTGACATCCAAAACATGCCTAAAAATCTCTAAACATGCCTAAAAGCATCTCTTCTCATGATCCTGTGTCTGAGGAGGAAAAACAGGTCAATAAATAAAAGGCTGCTCTGCTAAATTCTCAAGACTAGGACATGAAATGTGATTTTCTTGACATTTGAGCTATTGTACTAAATGCACTTGAATGCGTTTTTTTTTTTTTTTTGGTAATGACACTAATGTTGTGAGTCTTTGTCAAGAACATCACATTTCACCATAAATTCACCATAAGGAAGTTGTTTTGCAAAAAGAAAACTAAGCCCATTTTTAGGACCATTAAGACTTTTCTTATTACTGTAACAAGGAAAAACAAGAAAAAAAATGATAAAAGCAAAGGATAATATATTGTGTCACTTGGGAATTATTTATGTCATGGCAGTATTTGTTGTACTTTTAAATTACTGTAATACAAAAAAAAAAGATGACTGAATGTACTGAATTAATACAATGGGAAAAACAATAAGTAAAACAAAAAAGATACACTTCATAATATTTTAATGAGTAATTCCCAGCAGTTTAATAAGGGGGGGAAAACATGAAACATTTAAATAATGTTATAAAAATGACTTTTAAAAAAGATAATAATTGCATATTTAAATGGAAGTACTTCTTGTACTAATTTTTTTTTTTTTTTTCAATAAAAATAAGAGTGAACTTACTAAATGACTGGGGAAAACACAAGTAAAAAAACATGTAAAACATTTACTTATATTGCCAGTCATAGCGCCACCAGCTGGCAGCAGGAAGATTGCCACATATAAATGACTTTGACATATTCCTCCTATATTGACCACTTTAAATCCATATTGCTCGCCGTTGACTGTTTTACTAAAGCCGCCCGCTGGCGGTGAGCCCGGGTGCGAGGGCCCGTTCATCGCTGCTTGCAGCTTTAATTATTATTATTATTATTGGGTATACATGACTGGAACAATTTTTTCTTTTTCTTTTTGCATTTGTTTTTCATTTTTACTTTACATTTTACAATTTTCACATTTTTAAGTATCCCTATGATTTAAAACAGTTTTAATAACTTTACAAACCTGGTAATCTTTCATTGCATTGTATCATTGGACAAACAAAGGACTAACAATGTACATATAAAAGCTTGGAGCAATTCAAGAAAAGTAACATACTTTCTTGGCATGCAGTCATCTGGTCAGAGTGATTCATAATTCAATATTTTGGCCCTCTGATCCAGAAGGACAAATTGTCTCAACCTGCCAGGCTACAACTAATACTGTTATTCCACAGACATGTCAGACCTTTCATAAACTGGAACACAAACAAACAAAGCTTAATTCTTTGTGAATATGACAAATAATTACCTGAGTTCTCTAATTAAAAGGAAACTACTTAGCATTAGAGAAATTTGCTTAACAAAAACAAGTCAGAGCAGTAGCAAGTCAGCTCTTCAGCTTCACACTGAGATAAAGACACACACTGAGCAGGTGGTCGTGTTATAAATCACTCTTACATACGGCGGTTAGACTGTTATAAACAAATATCAACACTACAGGATCAAAGTCCACAGAGAGTTATAAGCATATATGGTAGTGTGTTGTGTGGCTAACCGGTTAGCTTAGCAACAGTGGCCGCGTCTCAAAACTTGGTAAGCTGTCTACCTAGGCAGCATTATTTGGCGTTATTATAGGTCCATTCAACCCGCATTGAACTCTTCAGGCGCGCATTTGATGCCTGAAAATGCTCTGACCCTCAAAACGCACGTCCAAACGCGCCTATGACGCCCTAAAATGATGTCTAGGTAAGTTAGGCTGCTCGCTGTGTTTTGAGACACAGCCAAGTGTCTCTATGCTGCGGAGCACAAGCCCGGTGAACCTTGACAATCTGTTGAAAACAAAATATCGTCGGAAAAACACAGTTTACGACGATAGGACTGTTTATTTACTCACCCAAAATGGATCAGAACCGTCCAAACTGCAGAAATTGTCAATACCCATTCGCCGCAGGAAGGATCTGTTATAGTAGCTATGTTGGGTTCACACTGCCTCCGTTTCATAACCACTGCTGTGCGCTGTTGTGATGTTGGGGACCCGTATAGACGTGGGATGGATGAGCTGAAAAATAGGGGGCGCTGTTACTTCATCGATTGAACTGACGTAACGGGAGCCACACACGACAATATGGCAAGCCGTTTTAACATTTTTTCCTTAAAACGTACTAGCTCTTTTCCTTCAACTAGTAGCCTACTCGTTTTTAGCTTTTAGTACGTACTCATTACATTCTAAAAATGCTGGGGGGTCTTTTTAGGGTTATTTTTTCATTGTTGGGTAGTTTTTATGTTACCCAGTCCTTGAGTTAGTTGCTGGGTCAATCTCAATTACAGTTGAAACCCAGCTGTTTAGTAACAGTGAGAGGTTTTTACATCATCTTCAGGTGAGAGCAGTTCAGTGAATCAAAGGTTTGAGTACGTTTTATTTTGTCTATAAAGTTGTTACTGTGCTGTAAGTCATTATCCTGTATGTAACGCAGCAAACAGGGACAAGATGACACTCAGTTAAACGCATGTCACAACAGTTGTTGAATGCAATGGAAACGTCTGATGCCTTGCATGAAATAAAATTATTTTTTTGTAAAGATACTGAATTACTTTGAATGATAAAATACGTTCTTAGAACTGTGCACTGTTTATGTATAGGTAGGTTATAAGGAGTCAATAGGGGCATCTTTCTGATATTTGCTGTCTAATATTTAACTTAGAAGAGGATTTAAGTTAATCTTTAAGTATTAGCTACTAGTAACTTTTTAGAACAAAAATATTCTGATCCTATTAAGTACATGTAGTTTTTAACTTTTTTTAACTTTGTCTAAATGAATATATAATAGTAGCTCAAAAATAAGCACTAGTAGCATGAAAATAGATACTAGTACATTTTAAGGATTAAATGTTCAAATGGGTTGCCATTCTAGACAACTATGGGTCAAACAAACTGTGGAAACCATGAAATTAAATCATAATAAGCTTGTATAATGAGCATCAACCTGAGCTTGATGACTTTTTACAAAAGTTTATAGCTGACTTATTATAAATTGGTTATAAACTCTATCAGGTATACTGGCCAGGTTAAACAGAAATAATAAATAATGACTTGATCAGTCAAGGCACTTTAACAGATTGGCTACAGGCAGTCATTTAGTGTTTAATGACCTTTACAAAACTGTCTTTCAGTAGAAAAGCCTCATCATTTGCATTGGCTGTAGGCTATATTCTGATGAATTTGGCTGTAGGATGGTCCAAATGACTTGCTCCACCCACCATTAAGACTCAAAAAATAATAAAGATCACCCAAGGCACTCATTTTTTGAATACTGCTCTAAGCATACGCAGACACTGCAAAACTAAGAAGAGCTTATCGTAGCTTGTAAGTATTAGATCTATGCTTTGCTTTATATAAGCGTAATTAAATATTTAAAGCATCATAAATACTATATATTTTGTAGCAAGTTATATTTATCTTCAAAAAATAAAGCACATTAATTTTTAATTTTTTTTATTTAGTTAGTTAATTGTAATTTAATTGTAATGTATTTTTTTGTAAAATGTTAATTGACCAGTGTTAAATTTTTTTCACATTTGCCATATTTTAAGGTGGAACTCTTGAAATGTTTTGTAAGAATTGCCTGTTTATGCACTGCAGGTTTATTGAAATATTGCAAAGATCATAGGTAATTTGTACATCTGTGATTTTATTATATTTAACAGTAAAAATATTTTGTAAGAAGAATATAAATGTATAGGACATACTGACTGTAAATTGTCCTGGAAATTCGTCATGAAAATCCGGTACTTAAATACAAAATGGCCAAAATAATATGTCAGTGGTGTGTGAGAAAGCTTTTACTGGACACACACCATATAAGGAATGATCATGGGGACTTTATTATCACCTTTCAACAGGTTTATAGCTGTAGAGAATAAGTGGTCCGTGAGTGGCAAAGATATGGCTGTGGTTTGCCTGATTAGAATATAAAATAAGGCTACATGTTTGCACATCCATAAGTAGTGCTAATACATACAGATGATAAACACATTTCTTATTACATCATAAAATAACTCACAGAAATACTTCAAGATGGCCAAGCAACCAGAAAACGAAGACAGCAATGAGTTCCTTTTCCTTGACAATGACTTCAAAAACAGTGGAGTGGCCCAGGCTGATTGGTCGACCAAAAAGATGGTGTGGATACCTTCAGAAAGGGAAGGTTTTCAGTCAGCCAGTATCAAAGAAGAGACAGGGAATGAGGTGGTGGTTGAGCTTGACAATGGAAAGAAGGTGACCGTCAGCAAAGATGAAATCCAGAAAATGAACCCACCCAAGTACAACAAGGTTGAAGACATGGCTGCACTGACTTGCCTGAATGAGGCCTCAGTGCTGCATAACATCAGGGAGAGGTATTTCTCAGGTCTCATTTATGTAAGTTCATTCAAACTTCACCTTACACAGTTGGTTAAACTACAAAAGTCTTTATTCATGATCATATCTCGGTGATTTAGACTTTAGTGACTTTAGAAAGGGGCTTCCTCCCAAGGGCATCATCATATCTTGGGGGTCTTGATATCAAAAAAGTTGATAACGTCTGATCGGATGAAAAAAAGAAGCAAATTTGTACCAATATATGTAAAATGTATAATAATATTGCAGCTTCCTGACATATATTTTGATATATTTCATATTTATTTCAAATCCAGACTTACTCAGGCCTCTTCTGTGTGGTGGTGAACCCCTATAAGTTGTTGCCCATCTACTCTGAGAAGATCACTGAGATGTACAAGGGGAAGAAGCGTCATGAGGTTCCTCCCCACATCTATGCCGTCACTGATAATGCCTATAGGAACATGCTGCAAGGTGACCACCAGTCTTAACTCACTGAATGCACCCTATAAAAACAGTTAGAAAATTCACAGGCTTAATGTGGTTATGGAAACTAGAAAGATACAAAAATCTTCCCAAAAGTAACTCTTTCGATGTTGTGTAATTGCACAACACAAACATAGAATAATAAGGAAATTGTAAAAATGAAGATTAATCATAGTTATTCAGTCCAGCAGAGCCAGCTGTGTATTGGAGAGCGTGTGTCAGGGACTTTGTTTCACAGGCTGTGCCATCAAAATTGCCATACATGGGGCCTTTCCCTTTCTCACTGAAGTTTTTTTACAGCTATTTTTGAAAGGATGAACTGAAGTTAATCTCACCCTGTACTCAATTTAGAATATGTAAGATTTTGGAGGTAGGGATCTCCAGTGAACAATAGTGGAGTTTGTGTTTAGACAGCCGGGCCTCTTGTTAATCTCGTTCAGGTTCTTAACTGTGACAATTCATGCATTTCTTGTCCTGTGTTCAAATGTTTCTTTCTCCACAGAGCGCGAGGACCAGTCTATTCTCTGCACGTGAGTTCTAAATGCCCTACGTGTTATTTGCTCCATATACTCTTAAAAATAAAGTTCTAATGAAACTAGTCCTTTAATGGTAAAGCATTTAGGTTGACCAAGGAAATAAGAATCCATTGTGTCTGTGAGGCACCATTCAGTAAAGATGTAATCAGCAGATACATTTGCAAGAATTACCAAAGCATAAGTTTGACTGGTCAAATATCACATGGGCCATAAAATAATACACATTTATATGCACAATATCATTCTATTTGCTAAGCAGCCTGACATGTAAATTATTATGCAAATTATTATGTGACGTGCGGCAGCATACTTTAATGTATGTTTAATAGTGGTGAGTCGGGTGCAGGAAAAACGGAAAATACCAAAAAGGTCATCCAGTACCTTGCAGTTGTGGCATCATCACACAAAGGAAAGAGACACCAGCTCTGTGAGTTCAAACTTTTTAACATTAAACCAACTAACATGTCATACAGTTATAATAACTTTTTTGCATGCCCTCATTGCTGTTAAGATTTTGATAACAACGTAGTGTTTGATTAGAATAATAGTCGTCTTTATGATAGGATATAAACGCTTCAGCACTTAACGATATGTTTAAATATTACATGGTACAGTGCATTAACACTACTGTGGGTGTGGTTTCATTTACAAATTTGTCCATTCAGATGTGCTTCTGCATATGCTTTGTGATTTTGGATGGCTGTTCATAAAACAAAACACAATTGTTGGATTCTTTTTCGCAATAATTCACAGAATAAACAGATCTGAAATAAAGAATCACAGGACATCACATACACAATCATTGATAGAATTGCTGTCAGAACTTACAAGCTGGAGTCATACTCTGCACTTTTCAATTTTAACTTCTTGTAATGGATTCTTTTTAATCAATTCATTATTTACCCCCATTTAGCAACAAAAAGGACCCCAGTTAGCATATGTGAGTACCTGAGCTTCTTTTCATATATTTTTTGGATGTCAGTGTCTTTGTTATTTTACATGTCAATCATGAATTATGAATGAAACATGGCCAATACCTGAATGGCTTTTCACTTTAATATATGCTAAACTATAATATGTAAAGTACTTTAGAAGTTATAGTTTGACTGCATTGAATCACAATGAATGGCATTTCCTTGGTCCGTTTGTTTAGGGTGAGCTAGAGAAGCAGCTCCTGCAGGCCAATCCTATTCTGGAGGCATTTGGCAATGCAAAGACCATCAAAAATGATAATTCCTCAAGATTTGTGAGTTAACAATTTATTGTTTTGGTCTTGAATATTTGCTCATTATCATTATAATCAACATTAGTATAAAACGTTTGCTGTTTTTCCTTCTCAGGGTAAATTTATTCAAATCAACTTTGACAACACTGGCTACATCGTTGGAGCAAACATTGAAACCTGTATCCTAACAAGTCCACATTTCCACTGAATCTGTACAACAGTTTGATATCAAAATCAGTTAGAACAATCATTTCTAAAACATATTTAGACTTACTTTACACCACAAAGTCAAGCACATTCATTTTGTCTTAATGAATCCAGACCTCCTGGAAACGTCTTGGTGTATCCGACAGGCCAAAATCGAGAGATCCTTCCACATCTTCTACTACATGGTGACTGGAGCCAAAGACAAAATGCGAGGTGGGTGAGGACCAAGAATTTCTATCACAGCAGCTACGAATTGAATCTTGTGTGATTACATTCACAAATACAGATCAGCTAATTATGCCAGTTTATTAGTTTGCGTTGCAGATGTACACAACAGAGTTTATTTTGATGTTACTTTCTGCCTTCTAAAAGTATTAAATTAATTTTGACAGTTTTAGGCATCATTTCAGACATACCACTAGCAGTCATTCTCTTCCACAGATGAGCTCTTGCTAGAGGATTTTAGTAACTACCGTTTCCTGGTGGCTGGGCATGTGCAGGTACAAAACCAGCAAGATGATGAGATGTTTGAAGAGACTCTGGAAGCCATGGAGGTCCTGGGCTTTAATGAGGAGGAAAGAATTGGTACTTACCAAAACAATGACTTATTTTATAATTTAACATCCTATATTTTCATGCTGTTTTACATGAAGTGTTGTGTTTCTTTTAGGCATGTTGAAAGTATGTTCTACTGTACTGCAACTGGGGAATATTGAGTTCAAAGCAGAGAAAAACCAGGAGCAGGCCAGCATGCCGGATAATACAGGTAAACAATCAGAGGGATTAATCTGTGATGTTGCTCTTATCCTGAACTGTCCCGACTAAAACAAAATGCTCGTATGTTGTGGTAAATGCATCCACCAGCTGCACAGAAAGTGTGCCATCTGCAGGGGATTAATGTGACTGACTTCACCAAAGCTATTCTCACTCCTCGCTTCAAAGTAGGCGGAGAGCTGGTACAGAAAGCACAGACCAAAGAACAGGTGCATTACCACACTATGCCATACAGCCATAATGCAATATATAATGCAACATTTTTAAGATTTCAGCAGATTTTGTATTTGTACTGTTTGGAGTAAACAGTTTTATCATTACTTTTCAGTTACTAGTAATTACACTGACCAAATACAATTCTCAACACTCCTAAAAATAAACGTTCTTCATTGGAATCTACTGCACAAAAGTTTTTTCAATAAACAACGAAAAAAAATATATATATATAATGTGTCATTTTATATAATATACTAATATGTCCATTTATCAGGCTGACTTTGCAATTGAAGCCTTGGCCAAGGCCATGTATGACCGTCTGTTTCGCTGGATCTTGGCATGTGTCAACAAGGCTCTAGATAAGACAAAGCGCCAGGGAGCCTCTTTTCTGGGCATCTTAGACATTGCTGGGTTTGAGATTTTTGAGGTGAGTCTGACAGGGTAAAATTCTTCATTAGCAGATTATAAAATCCAAATGTGAACTTTGAAACTCAAGGCTTTCCTTTTTTGCCTTTCTCACAGGATAACTCGTTTGAGCAGCTGTGCATCAACTACACCAATGAGAAACTGCAACAGCTCTTCAATCACACTATGTTCATCCTGGAGCAGGAGGAGTACAAGAAGGAAGGCATCGAGTGGAATTTCATCGACTTTGGTCTGGACCTCCAGCCCTGCATTGAGCTCATTGAGAGACCGGTCGGTTTATAAACAACACCATTCTAAGTATAATAATCTTTGATTATCTGTAAAAGTTACTCAGTCATGACATTTCTTTTGTTTTTCCCTTACAGAACAATCCTCCAGGTATCCTAGCTCTGCTAGATGAGGAGTGCTGGTTTCCAAAAGCAACGGATGTTTCCTTTGTCGAAAAACTCACAAACACCCACTCAAGCCACTGCAAATTCTCTAAACCTAAGAATCTAAAGGAGAAGGCTTTCTTCACTGTGCAACACTATGCTGGCAAGGTATTCAAAAGTCTGGGGTCAAAAAAGATATATATTTAAAATATTAATAGTTATTCTGCAAAAATACATGTTATAAAAGATTTCTATTTCAAATAAATAACATTCTTTTGAAATTTCCATTCTTAAAAAAAAAATATATATATATCACTACTGTACTTTCAGAAAAATATCAAGCAGCACAAGTGATAATGATAATTATTTTTATTTGTTTGTTTTGAGCTTCACTAATAATGAAATTTTTTTAAATGCGATTTTTGCTTTAGTGGATATTGTATTCTTTTTTAACGCCATTGATCTTTTTTTTAACATTTTATTTTTGCTGGTACAAAATATTGTATTATTTTTGCACTTGAATGATAATTAAAAATATTTTTTATCCGTTTATTTTTTAAAAAAAAAAAAAAAAAATATCACTACTGTACTTTCAGAAAAATATCAAGCAGCACAAGTTTTTTCAACATTGATAATAATAAGAAATGTTTCCTGAGCATCAAATCAGCATAGAATGATTTCTGAAGGATCATGTGACACTGAAGACTGGAGTAATGATGCTGAAAATTCAGCTTTGCATCAACAGAATAAATTACATTTTAAAATATATTGAAATAGAAAACACTTATTTTATATTGCAATAATATTTAACAATATAACAGTTTTTTGCTGTATATTTGATCAAATAAATGCATCTATCTATCTATCTGAACAGAGCAGAAGTACTTAACATGAGGTCATTATAAGAATATATATATATATATATATATATATGATTAGTATAATAATGTTTTTTTTTTATTTAGGTGGATTATAATGCCACATCTTGGTTGACTAAAAACATGGACCCACTCAATGACAATGTCACAGCTCTGCTGAGTAACTCTTCCAGTGCATTTGTGCAGGACATCTGGAAAGATGGTAAGTCTTTGTTAGGATAAGTAATAACAAGGTTTACTTGAATCTGAGCAGAAAGACAGTAATGTGTGCTCTACAAAGAAAGCTTTTATTTTTCTAACATATTTATATTAAATGCAACCGGTCTAAAATGTATTTTGTTTTTATGTGTTCCCATAGTGGACCGTGTGGTGGGTTTGGAAACCATGGCTAAAATGGCTAAGTCTGATAGCGCAGCTCCTACTGCTTCAAAGTCCAAGAAAGGCATGTTCCGCACCGTAGGACAGCTGTACAAGGAGTCTCTTGGCAAGCTCATGACAACTCTCCATAACACTCAACCAAACTTTGTACGCTGCATCATTCCCAACCATGAAAAAAGGGTATGCCACAGCAAATATCATACTATAGTGATTCATATCTGTATTTATAGTATAACTAAACAAGATGCCTTTTCCAAAAGGTAGACAAGAGCAGATTTCACATGATTTGTGCTATATGGGATTTAAACATGAATTATACTCTTTATCCCAAGTGGGTGTATATAAAATGTACTGCTTTTGTCCTTAGGCTGGCAAGATAGATGCCCACTTGGTTCTCGAGCAGCTGCGCTGTAATGGTGTACTGGAAGGGATCCGCATCTGTCGCCAGGGCTTTCCCAATCGCATCGTCTTTCACGAGTTCCGCCAGCGGTGAGTCACTTCTGAAACACATGCTTGATCATTTCAAATATAGAGTTCGTAGATTTGGATGCTTCCAATTGGCCAGAATACTGATTGCAATCTTTGATCATTTCCAAGCTATGAGATCCTAGCTGCCAGGGCTATTCCTAAAGGATTCATGGATGGAAAACAAGCCAGTACTCTTATGGTGAGTTGAGTAAAATATATGTACTTATACTGTACTGACAAAGCAATTTTTATTTTAACCTATCGTTCCTTGATGACAATTGCTCCCTGCTTTTTAACCATCAGATCAAACATCTAGACTCGGACCCCAACCTGTACCGGATTGGTCTGAGCAAGATATTTTTCCGCACAGGAGTATTGGCACAGCTGGAGGAAGAACGTGACCTGAAACTGACTGATATTATAATTGCCTTCCAGGCCCAGGCCCGTGGCTTTCTTAGCAGAAAGTGAGTTCTTGTTAAATCAGTGCAGATATACTGCATACCATCAACCTTTGAAGCTTCTTGCACTGTGTATTTACTGTGATTGTAGTTTCATTTTGGCTAAAAATGTCACAAAAAGTACAAGTTTCAAGTTTCAGGTAAACCATTCCATCTAAAATCTCAATTTACAGGGCGTTCAGCAAGAAACAAAAGCAACTGACAGCCATGAAAGTGATTCAGAAGAACTGCGCTGTTTATCTGACACTCAAGAACTGGCAGTGGTGGAGACTTTTCACTAAAGTAAGTCCTAAACACAACTACACATATCCATGTAAATTTAAATACCAGTGTAGTCATTTTATGTTTCTGTTTAGGTCAAACCCCTGCTTCAGGTGACTCGTCAAGATGAGGAGATGAATCAAAAGGAGGAGGAGCTTCATAAAGCCAAAGAAATTGCCCAGAAGTCTGAAGCTGAACTTAAGGAGATCACACAGAAACACAACCAGGTACAAGAGCAGAACAATATGTGATCCAAACTCAACTACAATGGTACATTCATTCATACTGAATCACTATCAATACAACCATATTTGCTGGAGCGTGTATTTCATCTCTAATAGGTGGTAGAAGAGAGGAACCAGCTTCAAGCCAAGCTACAGGAGGAGGCAGAGTTGTATGCAGAGTCTGAGGAGGTTAGGATACGGCTGGAGGCCAAGAAGCAAGAGCTAGAGGAAGTGCTGCATGAGATAGAGGCTCGACTTGAGGAGGAGGAGGAGCGAAGCCAGGTCTTTCAGCAAGAGAAGGCGAATCTGCAACAACAACTCAAGGTCGAGTAATGATCAATTATCACAGACTAAGTGGAACAACGAGACTGTAATTTGTTAATTGTAATTTTACTGTATTTTTTCTCTCGCTCTCATTTTTCTGAAAGCATAAGAAAGGGAAGAGATAATAGGAAAATTAAATAAGAAAACTGTACTCATCTATTGCTGTGTGTAGGATTTAGAGAAACATTTAGCAGAAGAAGAAAAAGCTAGACAGAAGCTTCAACTGGAAAGTGGGGCTGCAGATGGGAATATTAAGAAATTTGAGGAAGATCTTTTCATCGTGGAGGATCAAAACAGCAAGTTGCAGAAGGTTTGTATTGAGTTTCACCAGGCGGTAGTTTTATTTGGATCATCATTATATTTTTTGTGGAAAATGAATATCAGATCTGGGTAATATGGCTGCTGCTTATGTGCGTTTAGGAGAAGCAACAGTTGGAGGAGCGGCTAGCTGACTTTTGCTCCAACCTTGCTGAGGAGGAAGAGAAATCCAAAAACTTGACCAAACTGAAGGCTAAACATGAATCTATGATTTCAGATCTTGAAGGTTTTTTCATTATGACTTTTGATTCTATAGTTTGAAATTATTTTAAACCCAACCAAATGAATTGATTGATCAAATAATAAGCAAATACCATGTAAATATTCAAGTAAATACCTGCTGTGTATCTGTGCAGTTCGAATGAAGGAGGAAGAGAAAAGTCGGCAGGATGTGGAGAAAGCCAAACGTAAACTGGAGACCGAGTATAATGATGTACAGGAACAATTAAAGGACGCGCAGACCCAGATAGCAGAACTCAAGACACAACAATCCAGAAGTGAAGTGGAAATTCAGGACCTTCAGGCATGGTACATTGTTACTCACACCATAGTTGACTGTTCAAAGACACTGCTTCACTGCTCATTGTAAATTGTAACCAGACCATATGTATATTGACCAGCATGGAAAAAGAATCAGCTCAGAAGAGCAATGCTGTGAAAAAGATACAGGAAATGGACGTGCTTGTCTCAGAGCTTCAAGATGAGCTCGAAGCTGAGCAGGATACTTGTAGAAGGTCAGAAAAAGCCAGAAAGGAGCTGGAAGAAGAGCTGTTGGCCCTGAGGACTGAACTGGAGGACTCACTAGACACTACAGCAGCACAACAACAGTTACGGTGAATATTTAAATGTGTAACTTTCAAATAGTAATTTATTACTTTTTACCATTGTAGAGGTCAGGAACATGGTAAAGTAGATGTTAGTCTTTTTTTTCGGACAGGGCTAAGAGGGAGCAGGATGTGGCCATGCTGAAGAAGTTGATAGAAGATGAAGGCCGAAGCCACGAGGCTCAAGTGAATGAGATGAAACAAAAACATGCTCAGGCTGTAAATGAACTTAGTCAACAGCTAGAGCAAACCAAACGGGTAAGAAACCTGCTTAACATTGGCATATAACAAAAAATTACAGTGCAAGAACAACACTAACCCTTCAATTAGGTACTTCGGTACTTTTAATAAGGTAAGTCCTTTGGATATAAGAGTCTGCGAAATGATTAAAAGTAAATAGATTTAGATTTCTTAAACTGAACCTGAAACACAGGCCAAGGCCAGTCTGGAGAAGGCGAAACAGGCCTTAGAGAAGGAGGTTGTAGACTTGAATGGAGACCTTCGCTCGCTGGGTAATGCCAAGCAGGATGTGGAACAGAAGAAGAAGAAGGTGGAGACCCAGCTTGCTGACCTTCAGACTTGCTTCAATGAGAGTGAAAAGAAGAGGGAAGAGTTTGGAGATGCAGTGTCTAAACTGACTGTGAGTTTTACATTCAGACATGTTCTTTGAATAAACACTTATACATTATTATAATAGAAACATAGAAACAATGCTGGGTTTCTGTACAAACACCTGATTTATGTATGTCTTTTGTAAAAACTCTCAGATGGAGTATAACAATGTGAATAGCATCCTCAATGTGGCAGAGAGCAAGAACATCAAGCTGAGTAAAGAAGTTACTAGTCTCAACTCACAGCTCCAGGATACACAGGTATTGTATAATCTAAAGCAGGGGTTTAAAAAAAAACAAAAAAAACAATTTCATTGTGCTCTCTAAACACTGAAATCATTTATTTTATTGTCAGATAAAAAAAAAAAAAACAGAAAAGATATTATAATAATATTTTACACCAATTTATATATTTATTTTTACTGTATAAATAGGTCATTGTACATAAAAATATATAGCTGCCTTTATATTTTTAGGAATCATAATTAGAGTAAAAAAAAGTTGGAAACCTAAAGAATCTAAACAAAGAATTGTGACAGAATTGTGATTTTGAGAACTCTTGTCTCTTGATGTTTTGTCTATCTACCTATTTAGGAGATACTTGGTGAGGAGACCCGTCAAAAACTTAATTTTTCCACTCGGCTACGTCAAATGGAGGATGAACGAAACAGTCTGCTGGAACAAATAGAAGAAGAGGCAGAAGCCCGAAGGAGCATGGAGAAACAGGCCTCCAGCCTTACCACACAGGCCAGTCACTCACATTTGCACAGAACACCTTAAAATAATTTAATTAAGCATCTCAGTATATGACAAACAGTTGTGCCAAATAAATATACAAATGAAGCTAATTTCATTTGTTTAAAATAAGTTTGTTTCTACTATAGTTGTCCGATGCAAAGAAGCACAGGCTGAGCGAGAGAGAGATGACATAGCAGGGGAGATGGCAAGTTGGAAAAGTAAGTTGGGAATTAGTATTTGCAAAATGGAAGAATAAAGTTACAATATTAAAACTGAATATTTGGAATTTTAAAATTGTAAAATACAATATGCAATGACTGTCCACTGATAGACCTGGCATGTCTGATGAGAGGCGTCTGGAAGCCAAGATTCAACAGTTGGAAGAGGAACTTGATGAGGAACAGGCAAACACGGAGACGCTCAATGAGAGACTGCGAAGAAGTGTACAGGAGGTGATTGAGTTAATGTGCCGTTCATCCACTTGTATGCTGTAGCAAAGGTGTTCTTTCAAGGTGATACCACAGATCATTTTCATCTATAACTAGGTGGATCAGCTGACCAGTGAGCTGCATGTCGAACGCTCCAATGCTCAGAGGATCGAGAGTGGCTGGCAGCAAATGGAGAGGCAGAACAAAGAGCTGAGGGCCAAACTGCTGGAGATGGAGGGACAGGTCAAGTCCAAACAACGGGTCTCCGTCGCTGCACTAGAGACCAAGTTACAACAAATGGAGGACCAACTGGACCATGAGAGCAGGTAAGATCATAAGTGTTAAGATGGATTTGGCTGTAAAGACAGAGGGATTCCAACTAGTCGTGTTTTTTTTAACAGGGAGAGACAAGCTATTGCCAAGGTCATGCGTCAGAAAGACAAGAAACTAAAGGAACTGATGATTCAGATAGAGGATGAACGAAAACAGAAAGAGCAATATAAGGACCAAGTATGGAGGATTCTTGAACCAAGAGGTTCCACGTTTTCTCATATCATTGACAACTGACTGCCGTCATCCTTGTTGTAGGCTGAAAAAGCAAATCTGCGATCAAGGCAGCTTAAGTTTCAGGTGGAAGAGAGCTACGAGGAGTCTCAGCGTGCCACTGCTGCCCGGCTAATATACTTTTTATATATTTAAAGATAGTACATTTTTTGTTAGTATATTTGCAATGTACTATTAAAACAGGTAATATATTACAAATACAATAAAGTATACTTTTTTTTCACTAGGGTTTAAGGGGGTAATTCACCGATTTCAAGATGAGGCTTTAATAAACCTTGGCTGTCAAGGGAGTAGAAATTGGTGGTACATGACTAGAGAAAACAGAGAAGTGTGGAGTTCCTTTTTGCCAAAAGCTTAAACCACATAAAGCATTTTTTAATCCACTGTCCATTGACAGGATCACAAAAATAAAGAAGTTCGATCTGTAGTTTTAACGCAATCCCTGGAACTGTCTAAAGTCTGCCAGATGATGCAAAAAGACAACTACAACTACAGAACGAACTTCCGCATTCCTGCTTACAAATTAACTGGATGGTAACATGGAGAAAGAGTACACATTATTCATTTATATATACTACTGACACTGTAACAATGCAAAGCTGGATGGAAATCTGCAAACATATAATTTAAAGAGATGCTTTGAAAAAATGTGCATCATTTACGTCTGTCAAATAGTTTTCTTAATTCAAAGTGTATAAGGCACTTTTGTTGACCTAAAATGTCTTTTCTGCTTCTACATAGATGGCTAGCTGTGCCTGCATGTGATACAGCATTAAGGACCATAACCAAGAGTTCTATCATTCCTCTAACAATACCATTTCTAGGTATCGTTCTGGGTACCATTTCTCAAAAAATCAGTCCTGTTAACGAGACATTTATTTTGAAGGTTATGGATTAACCAACAATAAAATGGTTTTACAGACAGGATAAACTAAGCATTGCCTTTGCTGAGGAATGCATGGACATTGCAAATCTTTAGGTTCATTAATAGCAAAGAAAACCCATGTTGACAATAATTGGCAATTGTGCATACATTGACAAATACTTTACAGAAATTGAACTGTAATGACATCTTTAGTGAGGTTATTGCTTACAAGAGGCCCTGAGATGGTGTGATCTAGTGTACTAAATCTTTTTAATCAACCATCATTCTCCATTTCTAATTTTCTATCATTTTTCATTAGTACCTCTAGGCAAAAATGGATAATATAATGTATCAATTCTTCCTTACATTTCTATTTTTAACATAAAAATATCTGTACCCTTCACTGAAGTATTCATATTGCTTGTTACTTAAATCTACAACTCAAAGAGAAATGTGAAAACTAAGCGATTAAACTCAGAATTCAGTTTCTCCTCTTCATGGAATCCCTGACATATCAGAGAAT